CTTTTTTTTTTTTTTTTTTGAGGGGGTGGAGCCTGTGTGTCTGGGCATGAATGTGAAGTCAGAACAATTTGGAGAATTAAACTCAGGTCATCAGACTTGGTGGCAACTTTTACCTGTTGAGTCCCACTGAAAGCGTTTTGTAAGCACAAAAAGTACAATAATTTATAAAGGCATTTCATAAATGTGACAAAAATCTTAATTTCTATATTCCAGAACATCAAATTAAAAATCACATGTTTGGATAAGGTAAATATTGAATGTTTTCAGTTAACTGAAGGGAGCAAAGTTTCAATGTAAAAAAGGAAAAGTGAATAGCTAAATAGGGTTACATGTAAATGCATATTTAAGTTGTTTAGTGTTCAAATAAATCAAAGTTAGACGTTTTTGCTACTCAGAAAACTGTTGCTATAATAGAATGTGTTGATGAGCACTGAGGGAAATAAGCACCAGGAACCCACCACGTCTTAGTACTCTACTTCAAGTGCTTACTTCAGAAGTCTGTGTCATTTAAAAGGTTGTCAGGGATTCATGCTCCAAGATATGGCCTTATCAGTTCAGCGGTGGGCTGGATGGAAAGAAAGTCATCATTCAATGATTTATTTATTTTAAATTATATTTTTCAGTGCTTGAGAGACAGAAACAAACAGTTCTGTGAGTTTGAGGCCAGCCTGGTCTACACAGCAAGTTCCAGGTCAGCCAGGGTTAAACAGTGAGGCCCTACCCCTACCCCAAAATTCGTTAAGTTACATTAATTTTAGTTTTGTTTTGTTGTTTTGAGACAGGGTCTCACTATGTAGCTCTGGCTGTCCTAAAACTCACTATGTAGACCAGACACATAGAGACCCACCAGCCTCTGTTTCTTGTGTGCTGTGCCTGGCAATACATAGGATTTTATGTAGTATATTCTATATACATCCAGTGGACCTTATATTAGTCTTTATAGATCATGTCTGAGAATGAGCTGGAATTTAATAAATATATATTAAGTTTTTATATGTATGTATATGTTTAACTACACACACACATGCATGCTAGGAGGTCTAATAATGAAACCACACAAGTCTGATAGTTTCTGAATTTCTGTTTCTTCATCTGTAAAATGAAGAATATTGAAAAATGTTTATAGCTAAAATTTGCAGATTATTCAGGAGAGAAAAGCGAGCTGCTTGTGTGCCTGCTTCTGGGGTGATTGTTATTCTTTTGCTTAAATTAGAAATGAAGAAGACGACAAGGCAGTGCAAGATGAGACATATTAGACATATTAACCAGTTTATTACAGGCCCGGCAGAGAAGAGAGACGAAGAGAGAAGAGGAACAGGTTTAATGAAGAGGAGAGAGAGTAAACGGGCAGGGGTCTGTCTTTTAAAGGGGTCCTCTGCACCTGCATGCAGACTTAGTTCCCATGGAACCCTGGGCTGACCATGGTACTGCTTGTTCCGCCAGGTAACAAGCAGGCCAGCATAATGCCTAAGCCTTTCAGTGATAAGATGAAACACTGAGCATATCTTCTGAATTGGCTGTTACTTAGGTCTCTTCTTAATCTCGTTCATATGGCTTGCAAGATGGTTCCTTTAAAAAAAAAAAGTGAATTCTTTATTAGGCCACCATTTGCTATGATTTCTCTATGTGTTGTGAAAATTGAGGTATTTTAAGACAAAGTAACAGGTGAGTTTTATGAGCAAAGGCTAATAGTTGGAATTGGGGTGTGTGTGTGTGTGCTGTGTGTGTGTGTCTGTGTGTGTGAGTGTGTGTGC